AACACTTATTACTATTTAGTTATTAAGCCCCCTACAACTCAGCTTGTACATAACAAGTTGTAAATATGATAGTGATACGTTTTAAGTGTTACTAGGGATGTTTCCGCGCTACGCGCGGATTGTTTTTATATAGATATTTGATTATTATCTAAGTTAAATTATTTTCACTTTAAGTTAATATTTTAAATATAATATTTAATTTTTAAAATTGTTTTGATATGATTATACATCAAAAATATTTTAATGTATTCAAAAAATGTATCATGGTATAATTTTAAGAATTACCTACTTGATATATGCTAAAATTAACTGTTAATCTAAAACTTAATATTTGTATATAAACTCACTGTTATTTACTACTAACTTTCAAAATATTATTAAAATTATTTTTTGTTTTGACTAAATTTGATTATTATTGTTCCAATTAATTTAGTTTTTTTATTTTTATTTCAACTGTGTTCGTGTAGTATTTTTATTTAATTAGCAATCTCAAATACAAACAACAGTCAATGTTCTAATCTCTTATAAATCTATAAAATAACTATGATTCATATAAATAAAAACAATATTTACATAGTATAAAAAATCACAATCATATTGATAAAATGCAATTTTGATTTGGTCTATGAAGTATACGTAAACTATAAAAAATATAGATGAATAAGGCAAGTAATACATATAAAAATACAATTTCATACTAACTCATTATGTTAAATAAAGTATGTTGAGTTTCTCAAAACTCAAAAGATGTAAAAAATTTTGCTTGTAATTTAACTTAAACATTTTTTCTTAAACTACACATATATATTTTGATGAGCCTTTATAATTAAACTAATAATATATATTGTATTATTTTTAAAGGAGTTTCTTAACCCAGTAAAAAAAACTATATTAGTTTTTCATTCAAGTTGGGTTTATAAGGAATCTTGTTGATGTGGATAATTAGAGATTTTTTTAGACATTTTCTTCTACATAAAAATGTGTATGTTATTTTTTCAAAAATGTATTATTATTTAATTTAAAAATTTACTAACTTGATATATATAAAAATTAACTGTCATCTAAAACTTAATATTTTTTTATAAACTGTTTAACTCATGCGCTGACATGTATCGCTTGTAGTAACTTGACTACCTTAAGCCAACTAAGACACACATTGAATAAATATCAGTGCATGAAATTCTTCTTTTGTCTATCATTTTTTGCAATGTAAATAGTAACGATGATCGAAATCTTCATATAGATAGATGCTTTGAAAAGCTTCCTATAATTTATGTTGTCTTGTTGGTTGTCATAAATCTAACGTACTATGATGTTTAATCTTTATGTTTCTAAAAGGTGAATGTTTTAGATTTTTATAATTTGTAAATGTTTTAAATTTTATTTTAGAAATTATTATTTTGTAATCTTGTTTCTATTTACTATTATTTAAGTTTTTTAGAGCAATTTCTTGTCCAACATATTCACTATATTACAAAAAGGAGTATATATTAATGCTACAGATTTAAATAATATTTATTTTACTGATTTCGAAAATGATATTTAGTTTTATTTACTTATTCCTAATAACTATATTAACTTAGTGGTTCTATTTATTTATTTTATGTGTATTTCAAAAGATATAAAGTAAAATTTTTTATTATTGTTATATTACAAACAAAAGAAGTATATATTGATGCTATAAATTTAAATGATGTTTATTTTACTGATTCAAAAAATGATATTTTAATTTTATTTACTTTTGTTTGTAACTATATTAATTTTAGTGACAAAAATGAGTATATATTAATGCTACAGATTTAAATGATATTTATTTTACTGATTAAAATGATATATAGTTTTATTTAGTTTTTGCTAATAACTATATTAATTTAATGGTTCTATTTATTTATTTTATGTGTATTTCAAAAAAATCTAAAGTGAGAATTTTCATTATTGTTAATTTGTTATATTACAAACAAAAGAGTATATATTGATGCTATAAATTTAAATAATATTTATTTTATTGATTCAAAATAATATTTTATTTTTATTTACTCTTGTATTTAACTATATTAATTTTGGTTATATTTATTTACTTTACGTATATTTTAAAAAAATCTAAAGTGGGAATTTGTATTATTATTTTTTGCTGATATGTCATATTTTTAGAGTAGTTTAAAAAGCTGAGGTGGATAGCTTAAGGAGCTCTAAATAGTTTCTTTTATTTAGTATAGATTAACAAAATAAAAGAAAAAACGAAAGTTTGAAAATATAATATAGTAATAGAGAAAGGAAGCGTGGCATGTGAATATAAAATGTTAATAGCTAGAAGAAAGGCAAAAACAAAATTTTTGAATATGCAACATATGTTCGTGATGACTTTTTTTTTTCGGTATTATATTCGTGGTAACTTATAAGTGTTAAATGAAATTTTGTCATTTCATGATTCTATAATTATATACTGCATTTTGTTTTCAGCTATATATTTCACTAGTGTTTGAAGACCCAACCATATATGTTAAAGAGATATCTTCATAACTGCGATCATATATCATATATATATATATGGGTTGTTTTTATTAAAAAAAGCAAATTAAAAGTACCAAACAGAAAGAAAAAAAAAGATTTCTAGAAGTCAACACCTACATTTACTCGTTATATGTGCAATGATTATACAATTAAACAGTGTACTTGTCATCTACTACATCTCTCACTTATCCCCATTAAATAAAAATAATAATAATTTGAGAATACAATTATTTTTTTTGTTTTAGTCGTTTAATTAACTGAAAAGAAGCGTAGAGCCGTTTGACTAGAAGATTCTACGTCACCACACACACATTATGCATGTCTTTGAAGACTAAAGAGAGAAACGAGTAGCAAAACATATAAATGCAGATCAAATTACTAGTTTTGGAGTGTTCCAAAAGAGAGAGCCCTTGAATTTCCAGTTATGGAAATGGTGTCGTCTGTCTATATAAAGAGGAGTGTATTGCTCATCAGTATTGTGTGCAAAAACAAACTTATTAAAAAGAAATCATACGACACCATTTCCAGATATTCTGAGACAAAACAAAGGAGTTCGACTTTGTTATAGTAAGTAAACAAATAACTCTGAAGTAACAAGATTTAGAAAACCAGCGTTAAATAAATGGATACTTCTTAATTCATCAAGCGGGGATAGCTCAGTTGGGAGAGCGTCAGACTGAAGATCTGAAGGTCGCGTGTTCGATCCACGCTCACCGCATTTAATAAATACACGATTTTTTTCTTTTTTTCAATCCAAATATAGTTCGATCTTAATTCTTTTTTTTCCTGGTTTTATGGGTTTTCAGTTTTGAAAAACAGTTATGAAACTAAACGTCTTGATTAATAGTATAGATTGTAAAGATATTTTACATTTCTTGCATCTCTAACATATGTAAATAAAGTGAATACCAAAGGAAAGAGCAGAGTGTTATTGAATTGTGTTTTTGGAAAGAGTTTTGATTACTTAAAAAAAAAAAGAGAGTTAACTTCTCTATTTTTTGTGCGATGTTATTTTTTTTTACTGGTTTTGTGGGTACATTCATAGTTATGATTCATGAAACTAAAAGGAATTTATTGTAATTATTTTCCTACTAACGTGAGCTTTTGTAATTATTTATATGTTCCATTTGCTCTATCTAATGTACTAACACAATGACCATGTAAACCATTATCACTATTAATGCAATCTGATGTTATGAAAAAAAAGGAATTTATTGTATATCGTTTAATCTGTATTTCATTCTCTTTTCTCTAAAAAGAATTTAGGGTTTATAAAAAGAATGTCTCAGCTTTTGTGCCGAATCTCAAAGTTACTACACCGGTCCAACCGATTTCACTCCAATTTTAAATCCCGGTTTACTCACTCCGGTTAGTGGGATACAAGAGATTCCTCCTCTCTGACTTTTTAGACGAGATGAAAAATCTGGATCACTAAACTGATCTAAGAGTGTTCCACATTAGCCGTCCTTGCTCTTCATTCAAACGACCAAACACTGTCTCATGGGAAAGCACACTTCTTCAAGACAAGGCTCGTCTCCTGTTTTGACTTTTATCTTGACTATAAAACTCTTGGGGAGGCTTATTACAGCAGCAGTATTGGTGAGCCCCATAAGGGTTTTAAAGAAAAAAAAAAAATTTAAAATGACGTGGCAAGACTCTGCCACAAAATCGACTTTCTGGTCTTTAGAATTGTCTCTTGCCACGTGGCGAAATGCGATTTGTCACTTTTACATTTTTTTTTGAAAATAAAAGAAAATTATTAATAAAAAAACTTTTAAAAGCTTCACTTAATAAGAGCAATTGTAAAAGCATCATTAACGGAGAGTTTCATATGATGAAGCTCTTCCACATTTTTAATTATTAAAGAAAATGATTTTCGAAAAAAAAAACAAAAAAAATAGTTGACCAATCAGATGACGACATGTGTCAAAAGAAGGGAGAGAGTCGGCTCTTCCAACCTTCTGCAGAGAACCGATTCAACTCAAAAAGCTGGCCACCTCATTTTTATTTTTTTTTTCTTTTTGTTTCTAGTTAAGAGCTTCCTCAAAATCCACCATTGTGGATGCTCTAATAGAGAGATCATTGCAGTTCTTAAATTTTAAAAATAAAGAAGAAAACAAAAAATAAATAACATGTAGAGTTTTTCACACAGAATCGATTCTCCCCTTTCTTTCGCCATATGTCACAAATATGTTTTTTTAATTGTTTTTTTAATAAAAAAAACTTTAACTTTTTTTTATAATAAAAAATAGAAAAAACTCCATATGGACTCTCCATTATTGATGCTCTAAAGATCACCAATACTGGTGCTCTTTGCTCTTCCACCTAATCATTAACAGGTGAATCAAGCCTGATCAAAAAATTTCAAACTGAAGATATTGAACTGAAATACAAACGCCATCAAGCTAAACCCAAAAGCCAAGTAACTACTTATTAAAAAATTAAAACCATTTAAAATAAAATAAAATCAAACCATCTTCAAAAGGCATAAAACAAGCTAATTTGCTCCCGCATGTTTTGCACTTTTCGTTTACCCTTGCTTACTCCCTTCTCGCCTTCTTCTTTCTCTTTTCACCTTTCTGCATCTTTCCGTCAGTCGCTTCTTCTTCCTCCCTTTTAACCATTTTCGCCTTCTTTCTCTCTTCAGATGCTGTTTCTGCCTCAGCTTCTCTCTCCCTTCTCAGCCTTAAGGTCTTTCTCTTTTTACCCCCCATCTTCCGTTTTGTACGTTTGTCCCTATCTATCCCAAATAGATCAAAATAATGCCAGGCTTTTGTGGCTTGAGACATGAACAAACCTTGAGCTAAGTCGTTGTAACCCAAATATACATCGAACTTCCTCTGTTTCAAAGCTTGAAAGATCCCAACAAAATCTCGATTTCCAGTGATGATAACGAGAGGAGAAGGAGGTAACTTATCGCAAAGAGATTGCAAGAATGCCGACCTTGCTGCTCCAAAGTTAAAATAACAAAATAATTAATAAAATAAAATAATTAAACTATTGAAGGTGGTGCAATCGTTTACCTTCTGATTTATCGATATGGTGCAATATGATTTTGCCTTCCTTTTTCAGTTCATCATATTTCGAATTATTTAGTTGATTTGTATCTCCAAAGCCCTCAAATCCACATACTTTTTAATTCTTCCCTTGAAGAAGCTACTGGCCTTATCATATAAGGCTTTGGCTGATGTCGAATATGGGATTGGGCAGTATTCCCAATCCCATATTATGTGTAGAGGCCGAAGTTCAGAAGTAATTTGCCCTGAGGAAGTTTTTTTTTTTTTTTTGGTTATTCACCAAATTAACCCATTAAGAAACTCAAGGTGATGAGAAAATTAAGAATAAAGTTTAAATCTTTCATATATTGGTTAGATGGGATCTTACCGGCGAGTTTGCTGGTCGAAGGAGACATTGATTCTGATCGACAAAAGAGGACTCAAGTTGAAGTTTTTCACCGAAGGAAATATATACTATAATTGAGAATAACTTGGTCCCTAAGCTTTTGGGTTTTCCTCTCAGGCTTTTTCGGGGTATGGAAACTTTATTTTTATTTTGCTAAAAGATATGGAAACTTGATATTTGATTGCATCTCCCATTAAATGTGATCCCCAAGGAAACAGCAGAGTTTTTGTGTAAAGGGTTTTATTATTTGTCTTTGATTCTCTTCTCTCCGTAAAGCAATTTTAGGGTTTTAAAACAATATCTCTGCTTTTCTGCCAAAGTGGTCGGAGTTCTCCACGACGCCTTATCTGCTCCTCGGCAGCGATGTTGCCGGAGATTCCTCTTACGACGGTAAATCTTTGAAAGATAAATTCACTCTCAAAGGCTAAACCTAGGTTTGTACTAAAAAAGACAATCATATATAATTTCATGTATATTAAGGAGAACCGTAACGAATTAAATATTCTTGCCATACACGGTACCTCGATTGCTTTTTTGAATTATCCCGATTTGTCAAACCAATCAAATCTCTCACCTTTTCCCTTGTTTGTGCAATCTCAGACCCAATAAGATATTGATTGGATCGTTGTTGGGGAGTCCATTTCCAAGGTTATCTTCCGTTTTTCCTTAGGCCCAAAAAAAGAGTAACAGCTCAGTTGTAATCTACTATTATTTGAGAAGTAATATTATTGAAAATAACTGACTTGTCAACACTACAGCCAAAGTTAGTGCTTTTAATTGATGACATATAAATGTGACATGTCAAACTTCCTAAAATAAATGAAATGTTTTGATTAGTTGAGTTAAAATTATAGAAATTATAAAATTTAAAACATAAATAAACTAAATTATATTTATAACACTAAAATTAACAAATTTAAATTAACATAAAATAAAAGCTATTATAATTTCAATTTTTTACATATATTCATAATTTCATAAAATATAATTACGATTTTTTTTCAACAATATATATATTATAATTTCATATAAAACAAAAAATAATATTAAATTATCCAATAGAACAGTAAAAATTCTATTTATTAATAATACTATAAGTATGATATATTTTTATTTCGGAAAGTTATTAATTTATAAAATATATTAATAACATCTAAACAAGTTTTAAATAAACAAATTCTTAAATAATATAATTTTTAATAAAATACAATCATGATAAAAATAAATTAAAGAATAAAATGTTAAAATCATAAAAATAATTAACTTTTATTGATTTTTTTTTTTAAAAAACGTAATTTTAAATAATTTTCTTTTCAAACCAATATTTACTAAATGAATAAAGTATATACTAATTATTATATTATAATATTAATAGGACCATATATTTTTCTATAACTTTTATCATCTTTTTATTGTTGTTTTCTAAAATGTACATAACTTATGTTACCATCTCATCTTATCTCTTATCATATTTTAAATAAAAATAAAATTTTGAGATCATAGATAAATTGAAAAATAACCGAACAACAAAAAAATAAATTATAATAAGATTAAACAATATGAATAAGAAATAAAAATAAATCTCTCGTCCTTTGTTTTACAAAGTCACTTAAAAAAATTTTAACACGTAAGATCCATATTTTAATTTTTTTTTACAAATACGCGTACAGACATAAATATTAATTGTACATTAGTTGAAGTCACATGCGAACTTTTTTGTGCATGTATTTTGTTAAGATTGATTACAGTCAAATTTTATTTTAATTATTATACAATTTATATTTTTTAAAAACTCTTTATCTATTCTAAGTGTAGTGAAGTGGTTGGTATGCCCGCACATGCGTGCCAACCATCTATCCGCTCTTAGGAATAAGTAAAAATAGTAAAAACTATTTCAGTTTAAATTGCAATAAATCAAGAAAAATATATACTTAAAATATATTATATATGTATTTGCAAATTCATATTATGTAAGACGCAAAAAAGCATATTGTAGATTGTGTAAGGAGAAATAAAGCATATTATAGAAATATTCAAAAAATATTATAAGAATTTAACTATTATTTAACATAAATTTTATATTTGTGATTATATATTATTACAAGCATTATAAAAATAAAAAGTTTTAAAATACATTGGTTTCAGAAAGAAGTTTGTAAAATATTAAAACAATATATATACAAACATGCCAATATTTTAAAAAACTAATCAATATTTAAACATTACAATTAACTATGTATATCAAAAAAATTATATCCGTACATATGTGCGGACCAACCATCTAGTAATCAAGTAAAAGAAGAGGAAGAATCTAAAATGCCCTGTCCTCCCACAATGAAGATCTCCAAAAGGGTAATGACTTTTCTTACAACATTGATGCTTATTGGTTTGTTGTTAAAATAGGAGTAAAATAGGACTAGCTAGGGCTATATAGAGAGAACAATGCAACCAGATCATACAAAGAACGTCTTCCCTTTCTCCGACAGCCTCTCTTTTAGGAGCAGAAGCTCTTGCAATGAGAATGTATTTCCTACAACTTAAATTCTTAATAACCTGCTGGCTTCTTACTTTAATAATATTGCCATCTAATGTAAACTATAGTTCTATGTGTGTCCAAAGATCTGCTAATGCTGTCACCGATGCTGAAGCCAAAAAAAAGCTGCCACTCGCATAGTCCCATATTTTGTTGTATGGTTGTTATAATATCAATAGTGTAGTGTACTAATAGCATAAAACCAGTATGTATATATATGAAAATCAGAAGTTTGTAGTGAAATATATGAAAAACTTTTTTTCTTCTTTCTGGGATTAAAGTTGCAGCCAATTTTCCAATGTAGAATAGAAAATCACAACTAAAAATGAAAATGTAATTAAGAATAAGAACCTTTTTCTTTGGTCAAACATAACTCTTTTCAAACGCTCTTTTCAAAGTGTCACTATCTGAAGTCTGAACTTACGGTCGGTTCTTAAAAATCTTTATTTATTTAACTTTATAATAAATAAATAAATCCCTATATTATTACACTGCAGAAGCAGCTGCATCATATAGCTGAATCTAGTTATTATTTTTTATTACTATTAATTTTTATGTGTGATGACACTTGTTACTATTTAGTTATTAAGCCCCCCCTACAGCTCAGCTTGTACATAACAAGTTGTAAATATGATAGTGATACGTTTAAAGTGTTATTAACAAAATAAAAGAAAAAACGAAAGTTTCATAGGAAAATATAATATAGTAATAGAGAAAGGAAGCGTGGCATGTGAATATAAAATGTTAATAGCTAGAAGAAAGGCAAAAACAAAATTTTGAATATGCAACATATGTTCGTGATAACTTTTTTCGGTATTATGTTCGTGGTAATTGGTAACTTATACGTGTTAAATGAAATTTTGTCATATAACACTCATTTCATGATTCTATAATATACTGCATTTTGTTTTCAGCTATATATTTCACTTGTGTTTGAAGACCCAACCATATATGTTAAAGAGATATCTTCTTAACTGCGATCATATATCACACAAATATATATATATATATATGGGTTGTTTTTTATTTTAGAAAAGCAAATTAAAAGTACCAAACAGAAAGAAAAAAAGATTTCTAGAAGTCTAACACCTACATTATGCCATATCTTTAGAGCAGCTGTAATGGAGAGATTCATTACAGCTCTTAGAATTAAAAAAAAAAGAAAAAAACAATAAATAAATGAGGTGGAGAGCTTTTTAAATAGAATCGATTCTCGCATAGGAGTGTAGGAGTCAACTATTCCCTGTCTTTTGCCACATGTCATTATAGGATTAGTCAATTTTTCTATTTTTTTTTGATATTTTTTTTTTTTTTTTTTTAGTAATTAAAAAATTAGAAAAGCTCACATGTGAGACTCTCCGTTGCTCGTTGTATTTATGCAATGATTATAGCAGTGTACTTGACATCTACTACATCTCTCACTTATCCCTATTAAATAAAAATCAACACAACAATAACACTAAAGTCTCTCCATAGCTTGTCACATCAGCTTTTTAAGCTCTATAAACATGACATCTCAGCAAAAATAATCACCAATCAAAACATTTTATTAATACATCTCATCTACTTATTTTAATTTTTAAACTTTAACCCATTTAAAACCTAAATATTTTTTCTATTAATTTTTGTTTTATTTTTTTACCAAACTCAAGCCCAAATAATTAATAACAGCAAATAAAAAATCACATTTTATCTTTTGTCAAATCTATACCCAAATAATAAATAAAAACAAATAAAAAAATTAAATCATTATTTTTTTTTGCCAAAACCAAATCCAAATAATAAATAACAACAAATAAATAATAAAAAAAATTCTAGCTATCTGTTTGTTTGACATAGACGTATATGATTGAAAAAGTGTAGGCTCAGCATCAACTATGCTTCCATGACAACAACGCAAAAAGTCTTATGTTATAAGAAGCTCACACATCAACAAAAATTTGAACCGAGAAAAACATAACAATTTCTTAGTTTTCGCAGGAAAACACAATTTCACGGGAGATAATGTAATTTTTGGTTTTCGCAGAAAATTGTAGTTTATTTATTTTTGTAGGAAAGCGTGATTATGGGCTTGACGAGAAATTTTTTTTTTTTTTTTTGCAGGAATAGACGATTTCTCAGTTTTCCCAGAAAAAATATATTTTTCGATTTTGGCGGAAAAATACAATTGTTTTTTTGGTTTTTGCATGAAGATAAAATTTTTTGGTTTTTGTGAAAAAACGTAATTTTTCGGCTTTGGTAGAAAAACACAGGTTCTCGCGGGAAAATGAAATTTTAGGTTTTAGGTTTGACGAGAAAATGAATTTTTTGGTTTTGGCGGAAATAGCCGATTTCTCAGTTTAATGGGAAAATGAAGTTTTTTTTTTTTGACGGGAGATGCGATTTCTCGATTTTTGTAAGAAGATGAAATTTCTCTGTGCTAAATTTCCAAATTAAAGTATGTTTACAGTAACCAAAATTTAATTATTTAACTTTAACTAAAACGATATTTTAAAAGTTCAAACATAATTTTCTATTTAGTTCTAAAGCAATATCAATGTTTTTGATATGAATGTTATTGATCATAGTTTAGTTGTTTTAGAAACATATGTTTATAATAAAATATTTGATAAATAAATAAATTTTATAATTTAAAATAATCATATTAATTAATAAATCTTTTTTAAATGTCATTTTGCTTTATATAATTACAAAAGAGGATCATGTGGCAATTTATTGGAGAAAATAGATTACATTTGCCATTAGCATGAAGGTACTAAAAATGTATTGTTTTATTCTTATATATTTTATTCCTATATAAACATTTATAATTAGTTAGCTAACTAAATTTAATAGCAAATTATAATTTTGAAAAATAAAAAAAATAAAAAATATATTATGCTTATTCAGATTTAAAACATATAAATACATATCTTAAGATAATAAAAAATAAATATAATACTCATTTATATTATAAAAATAATTTTATTATATTAAAATTATATACAAAATTTAAAAAAATATCCCGCAGCGAGAATACATTTTTTTTGCTTTTAGTCGTTTAATTAACTGAAGAAGCATAGAGCCGTTTGACTAGAAGATTCGACGTCACCACACACACATTATGCATGTCTTTGAAGACTAAAGAGAGAAACGAGTAGCAAAACATATAAATGTAGATCAAATTACTAGTTTTGGAGTGTTCCAAAAGATAGAGCCCTTGAATTCCCAGTTATGGAAATGGTGTCGTCTGTCTATATAAAGAGGAGTGTTGCTCATCAAAATACTGTGTGCAAAAAAAACTTGTTAAAAAAATAATTCTTGAAACTTGAGAGAAGATGAGGAGAGGTATCCAGAAAATCACGCTGGAGACGAGGGCAAGGATGGGTGATCGTCGTCGGCCATTCTTTTTGGCCGGTCCACCTACGCCGGAGGATCCTCCTCACGGTGGAAGGACTCGGGAGGAAAGACGCACGGACCGCCAGCTATGGCGCCAAGGTTTCAGGGGAGAGTTCGACGAGCTGTCAGACTGGTCGTCTGAAGAAGATGATTGCGACGATGAGTCAGACGATGGAGAGAAGGATGGCGACGATGAGTCAGACGGTGGAGAGAAGGATGGCGACGATGAGTCAGACGGTGGAGAGAAGAATGACGACGATGAGTCCGACGGTGGAGAGAAAGATGGCGACGATGAGTCATCAGATGGTGGAATCGTGGAAAGCGACAGTGAAGACGGTGTAGAGACGACTGAGGACAACGACGTTGCTGACAAGGATGTTGGTGGAGTTAAGAAGGATTAGAAGTGCCCGTAGCTAAGCCCGAGTCCAGTGTTTTTAATTTCATGCTTTTTAAAAAAAATTCCTACAAAATGAACTCTGTGAGAGAGAGTTTCTTCATCTTCTTGAAGCTTTTATTTGGTGTGTTCTTTCTTTTTATCTGGTGTGTGTGTGTTTGTTAATGTTACAACGGACTTAAGTTGATATGAAATGAAAAATGTCTTTTAAGTTATTTCTCTCCATCCTAAACGATCAATGTTCCTCTGTTTTCGTCTCTCTTCATTATTATGCTTCCAGCACCAAAAATCCTCTGTTTCGATGACTGGCTTTATCTTCAATAAGATCGCTAACCATCGTATTCAGATCAATGAGAAGATTAGCATCCACGGAACTCTTGTACAGACCTTCATCTCTAGAAATTTATTTTCCAATTTAAAAATTGTAGTAAATATATTAGAGTTTTTATATTAGACTAGGTGATGACCTGCGTATACACGCGGGTATATGCTTTATTATATATTTTTGAAATTTATAATTAATATAATATTTTAAATAACTATATTTGTATTTCATAATAATTTATTTTAATATTTATTTTATTTTTTACTTTCAAATATTTAAATATTTTTTTGGAGTTTTAGTTTGTCGTAAAAACTTTTTTAGTGTCCATATTGACTGTCTTTATATTATTGAAACCGTCCATATGAACTCCATGGAGAAAATCCTATGAGAAAGTTGCAGTTGAAGGTGGGTTAAGTTTTGAAGGACAATAATGATCAATCTATTGAGAGCCACTTTTTAGAGAAGCTTTGGTTTACGAATGATCCGTTAGAGAGAGAGAGAGAGAGAGAGAGAGAGAGAGAGAGAGAGAGAGAGAGAGAGAGAGAGAGAGAGAGAGAGAGAGAGAGAGAGAGAGAGAGAGAGAGAGAGAGAGGTGATCCCGAGCCTAAGACTCATTTTCGCTCTTCTCTTGTTCCTTTCTTCAGCCTCACTATGTCCTCCTTTTGACTGCACCGTTGCCAAACCATGCTCTAGTACACTGTGATTAAACATCCATTGAAGTCGGATTCTCCAGAGAGAGAGAAAGTTAAGAGGTGATCGATCTCTGATGAGTCAAAGACAAACCTCGAGGCTAAAGAGTTGACGATGTGCTTCTGAGAAGATGGTGGTGGCTTCTGTTTGTATTATCGCATGAACTCTCGAGACCCGAGAGTCCTTGACATTACTTTGTTCTCTGCCCTCTTGGTGATCACAAGCTCAGACCCACCAAAAAGCTCCACGGTGTTCACTGACTCGCCGGATACTACCATCTGGAATGAAGAATCCACGGAACTTATGCATATGAACCATGCACTTCTCAATCGTCTTGTGCTTCTTTTATCACACATCAAACAGCAAGTCGGATCCAACTCAAACTCGATACCATCCTCATCCATCTCTTCACCAGAATAAGAATCGTTCTCATCCATCTCTTCATCAGCCAAATCCTCGTCTGAATCAACCTCAACCCTTGACAATTGCCATTAGCACTGCCACCTTCGTTGGCAAGATGAAAATCGGCTTTCTAAGTTACGAAATCTGAAACACAAACAAAAAAAACACATGAATTTGACGATTTGGGTCTCATAAAACCACAATACAGTTATGATCAGAAGAAGACCAACCAAGCAAAACAAAAATTCATTTCTTAATTGTGTACAGACCAGAGCCATCTTGCAATTCCTGAAACAGATATCAGATGATGCAATAGACTCAAACCAAAGTACAACATAGACAACAATGATACAGTAAACAGAGAACCTCTACTTTTGGCTAATATTCACCGCGCATCAGTTGTTCTCGAGGCTAGTTGTCCAGTGCCGCTGTTGCGGGTGCACACATATAAGATCACTGCATCAAGAGCAAAAAAGATCTTTAAAATCAGAATCTACTTATTCTGATCACCACAAAGAAAGGAATCTCGTCTACTTTACCTTGGGCATCCTTTTCACCTGCACCGGGTTTAGCAGAACCATTCGTCTTATGGGCATCATCTGCTGCACATATAGGCTAAATAAACATTTTGAGAATCCGCAGTTAAATATGTATCATTATGAAACAGACAATCATCTTCTTCAACTATCTATCATCAATCATGTCCATGGATATGTTTAGAATGTCTTAAAATCACTGGTTCCAAGCAGAACAACACCTTACAAAAGAAGTGACAATGAACATTAGAGTTTACGAGCTTGCGTAGGTCTGGAGTGATCATCACCTGCTTCTTCCGGGATGTCAGAAGTCCACAAGGTCAGATTGTCCCTAAAGAGTTGCATAATCAAGGTGCTAACTTTGTAGGATTCCTCATTCAGAGTGTCAAGCTCTGAGATAGCTTCATTGAACGCCTGCTTAACAAGGTGACATGCCCTGAATATAAAAAGAAACCAAACAATCTCAAATCCCTGAAACAGAGTCTTTTATGTTCTCAGTAATTAACACTCTCTTAACCTTTCAGGTGAGTTCATGATCTCGTAGTAGAATACAGAGAAATTAAGGCTAAACCCAATCTGGTAGGATGTATAGGAGGGAGTTTAGCTTCAGCAGCAGTAGTAGCAATCTGTGTAAAGGAAACCCAAAAAGAAAAACTCAAAACTAAAATTTAAGAAAATCGAGAATATCAAGTGATCGATAAACACTATAGATCACAAGTAGATAACCTCATAGGCTTTCAAAGACTGATCAGCAGCCTATTTCCTCTTATTTTCTGATTTGAATTCCGCAAGATAGCGATAATAGTCACATTTCCTGCAAAATTCAAACAAATCTTTAGAAACACAACTTTTTAAGCTTTTGAGTTTAAAACATGAAGCAAAGAGCATTATTGGCTTACATATTGTTAAAGAAGATAGTTGATTTACCCTCCGAAGCCGATGGAACCAGATGCTCGTCTAACATAGATATTATATCAATGCATATCTTTGAAAGCTCTTGCTCAACCTTCTCCATATAATCTTTGATCTTTTTTACATTCACATCGTTCCTTTCATCGCTTCTTTTTGTTCGATCGACGAGAATATCCTCCATGAGGAAGCTGCTTGATTATCGCTTTATCCTCTTTCGGAGATGAGTTATTCGTCTTCCGGCGGACTAAATCCGGCCAGTCTCTTAAATCCTTAAATTAACCTAATATTCAGTAACTTAAGGAGAAATCGCAGTGAAGAAAACTTGAAAATGCATCTACCTTGAACGAAGGGGCTCGAAAGGGAGAGAAAGCTTCGGAAATTTGAAAGAGGAGCCATTAGGACTCGCGGAGACGAATCTAGCTGTAAACCTGAGAGAAGAAGTCGATGTGGAGACGCAAGCATGAGCCATTCCTTAGCGAAGAGAACTCCCTCTGCACAAACAATCAATGCCATCGTCTTCGATGCATAATCCCTAGATTGCGATGAGCTTGATGTGGGAAGCCCAGTCGAATCGAAATATTAGCCGGAGGCCATGACCTCTCGCGATTTGGTTGATTTGTGTTTTTTTGGGGTTTCTGGATTTTGGAGTCAATCGATTGTTTATGTACAAGTTTTCATTGGAAAGATATAGATGGTTAAATTGCGGAAGAGACGCTTTGGGAAAAGTTTATTTGACAGAGAGTGAATTGACGAGAGAAGTTTTTTTTTTTTTCTTTTTCATTTTTTTATGCTGATGTGTATATTTTTTTGTGCTGACAAAGAGTGAATTGACAAGAGATGCTTTGTGAGACTCAACTGAGTCTTTATATAAGAGCATCTCTAATCTATTGCTATTTTTTCCTCTACTTTTAGATGAAAAAATAGAGGTGTCATTTTTGTTCCCCAATCCACCTTTATTTTAGAGGAAAAAATAAAGATGCTACTTTTTCCTTCAAATATAGAGGAAAAAATAGGTTCTTCTATATTTTCTTCTAAAATAGATGTATTCCTCTAAAATAGAAGTGGATTGGAGAAAAATCTACCTCTATTTTAAAGTTCCTCTATTTTTAAAAAAAAAATAGCAAAATAGATTGAAGATGGTCTAATAGATTTTTACGGTTGTCTGTCACAGCTCACATCCAATAGACCTCCACAACAAATGGAAAAACAAAATATTTATACAAAACAATCCAATACTTTCCACACTTTCAAATTCTCATTTTTTCCTTCTTTTTTTAATACATTTTATAGCAACACACTCTATAATGATTAATAGTATTCCACGACACCTTACTTGATCTAAAATTCATATGTGTCTTCGAAATTTAGAGAGCCCTCCAAGACCTCGAAACCTTATAATATAGAAATGCACCTTGATGATGTGGACCTTTTATGTAACAATTAAAGTAATGGGGTAGTTTTATGACAAAGCATAGAAATATGGGGGTGTTTTCAGAGTTTCCTCCCAGGCTTTTTTTGGGATATGGAAACTTGACATTTGCTTGCGTCTCCCATTCAATTTTGATCCCCAAGGGAAACAGCAGAGTTTGGTGTGTATTATTTGTCTTTGATTCTCTTCTCTCCGAAAAGCAATTTTTAGGGTTTTAAAACAAAATGTCTCAGCTTTTCTGCCGAATCTCGAAGAAGCTCCCATCAGCTCGGAACCGGAGCCTCTGTTTCCGGCGGTCGGAGTTCTCGACGGCCACGACGCCTTACCTGCTCCTCGGCAGCGATGTTGCCGGAGATTCTTCTTGCGGCGGTAAATCCGTCAACTTTAACCTCTACGATCCGACAAAGCAAGAGAATGTGAAGATCGAAAATCAGATTCTATCAAAGGAGCTCCACGAATCTCGGAGGATAGGATCATCAAGAGGATGGTTAGCTTTGATGAACAAGAACGATTCCACAGTGCGTCTCACCAACATGTTCAACAACCCCACGAAGAAGAAGAAGACCATATCTCTACCTCCACTAGCCAGAGACAGATTCGAGCATCTTGTCAATGTCTCTGTCTCCTCCTCTCCCAACGAACAAGAAGAAGAAGACTTTGTAGTCGCCGTCAAGTTTTTCGGTTCTAGAGTTAGTCTTTGTCGACTCGGTGACTCGGAGTGGACTCGCATCGACGTGCCTTGCCCATCTTTCCACTCTTCCACCGTCATCTTCTCCGAGAGAGACCGGAGATTCTACTTGAACAACTGCAACCCTGACTACACCGGTCCAACCGATTTCACACCAAATTCGAATCCCGGTTTACTCACTCCGGTTAGTGGCTACAAGAGATTCCTCTTCTCTGACTTTTTAGACGAGATGCCAGAGCTTGAGAACGAAATGCGTCTCTCTCGTTTCAAGATCCAACAGCAACTAGTCGAGTCATCTTCGGGCCAATCCTTCATCGTTTGCTGGTAATAAAATCCATCTTCCTCTGTTTTTCTCTCTCACTTCTTTGTGTTGTTTCTAGACTTAGATGGATCCAAGAGATGAGATGTGTGTTGTTGTTGTCAGGTTTGTGGAGAGACTTACGGACAAAGGAGAAGCTGTGCCATGGGGAGACAAAAGTTACAACAACAAAGAGCTTTGCAAGAAGACCCACAAGATCATGGTGTTTAGGCAAGACACAGAGCAAGGGCTTGGTCCTTACACTGATGACATTGGCGATCTCTGCATTTTCTTGGGAGACAATGAATCCTTCTGTCTCTCTGCCAAGGACCACCCTGGTCTGAACCCTAACTCGGTCTACTTTGCCGGCCATGGTTCCGGTTTCGGCATCTGCGATCTCACCTCCCGCACAATCCGCTATCTCTCATCCGACTCTACTCCTTCACCCGGTCGCATGTTCTGGATTCCTCCCACAACATCCCAATTGGAGCTAGAGGAAGAGGAAATATCTTTTAGTTAATTATCATCTATGATCGCATTATGTAGGCTTTTTTTTATGATGTTGATGATTTGGTGTTTTCGAACTTATTATTATTGGTGCTTTGAACATCTTTAGTTTGGTTATTGGATTTTGGTCATTCCCAACCCTAAGGACTCTCCTTGCTATTCAAGAAAAGGGTACTCTTTATTTTAATTTAACTGAAAAGATTATCTGCTCCTTCTAAAGCATACAAGATTCTGATGATACTGGACTTAAGAGAATCCCATTGGTTCAATTCAAGGGATGAACTATGTAAGCAAACGACCAAAATGCTTGATATTTATATATTTTTTTCTCAATAGATCAATTGAGATTTATATCTGCTTACGAAAATATGGAATTTTCTACAAACTCAAGCAATTTGGTTTCTCGTGTATTTAATTGGTCGATAGTTAAACAAAAGTTTGCCCTGTTACTTTTCAAATGTAAATATGGCTCACTATTAACATTAAGCAGCAAAAAAAAAAAAAAAAAAAAAAAAACAGAGTCAAATTTTTCTTCTCTGGTTGCATTATCTATCTTTGTAATATCCAAGGTTCTTATAGTTCTATTTCTGATTCCGGTTTGTATTCACAGTTAAGAAGAAGAAAAAAGAATGTTTCGCTGATTTGAAACAAGTGACTTTCACTTGAAGACAACTTTGGTTACCCTTATTATTATAAGTAGATACTACATAGAGAGAGTTTGATGCCTCTATTTAACTTGTGCATCAGATAACGTAGCGTAAGTTGTAAATTAATATCATGCAACGAACAAAAAAAAATCTCAATCGTCAATATAAAGACTTGCCGCAGATTCTACAATATAATCTAAATTTTGTGGATCCGTCTTCATTGTCAGCTCTTCAGAGCGCTTGGGGGCACTTGAAGTAAAATGTAAAGACTTGAATCCCAAGAAATATCTGGGCACATCGAAAGAAACTAATTGATTAGAAAAAGAAAATAGCCAAAAGAAGAACACATAAGTATTACTATCAAATCGGCTCGAATTACGTTTGTTATGGTTGAAAACGAAGTTAGTAATATCTAGGGTTTCCAGAGCCTAAAACTATTTCTCAAAACCCTAAAATAAATCTTATTACGTCGTCAATGACTTCTTCTTTACGCGAATTGAATTTGGTCCCGGCGTTGATATAATATCCGCAGGTTTTACGTCGTCAATGACTTCTCGTTTTGATTTTACAATCGGCTCATGGGCTGGAATTCCCGGGTTCTGTTCGCTTTTGGGCCGGATTGAGCCCAATTAGCTCGGTTCATAAAATGATTTAATTTCCAAAACAGTTGTACTATCACAGGAGAATTTGTAAAACAAACAGACGAAGACGAATCCTTCTTCCCTCGAATGTTGAGAATTTTTTTGACTTCAATCTCACTGAGACCCTTCTCTTCTTCTTCCTCTGCGATTTCCCCCAAATTAATCACCAAATCGCCGCCTAAAACCCTCAAAACCCTAACCCAACTCCAAAAATCCTCCTTTGAATCTACTCTCCGCATTTCCCTAATCGCCGACGACACCGATCGAGCATGGAAGACCTTCCGATCCTTCGCCGCCGCCTCTTCTCTCCCCGACAAGCCCCTACTCAACTCCCTCATCACCCACTTGTCCTCCTTCCACGCCGGAGACACTTCCCTCAGGCACAGACTCAAGCGTGCCTTTGTCTCCGCTGCTTACGTCATCGAGAAAGATCCGGTTTTGCTCGAGTTCGACACTTTCCTCAAGCTTCTCGAGTCCATGAAACTGGCGAAAGCAGCCGCGCCTGCATTGGCTTTGGTGGAGTGTATGTTCAAAAACAGGTACTTTGTTCCGTTTGATCTCTGGGGGCATTTGATTCTCGATATCTGCCGCGAAAATGGAAGCTTGGCTGCGTTTCTTAAGGTGTTTAGGGAAAGCTGTAGAATTTCAGTAGACGAGAAGCTTGAATTCATGAAACCTGATTTGGTTGCGAGTAACGCGGCTCTAGAAGCGTGTTGCCTGCAGCTGGAATCTCTAGCTGATGCTGAAACCGTGATCGAATCTATGGCTGTTTTGCGTGTGAAGCCTGACGAGTCTAGCTTTGGGTTTCTTGCTTATTTGTATGCAAGGAAAGGGCTTAAAGACAAGGTAAGCGAGCTTGAGAATTCGATGGATGGTTTTGGTTTTGCAAGTAGAAGAATCCTTTACTCTAACATGATCAGTGGATATGTTAAGATTGGTGATTTAGACAGTGTCTCTGATGTTATACTGCATAGTCTGAAAAGGGATGGAGAAGACTCGAGTTTCGGCGAGGAAACTTATTGTGAATTGGTGAAAGGGTTTATCGAGAGTAGAAGCATTAAGAGTTTAGCAACACTGGTAATCGAAGCTCACAAGTTAGATTCTCTGTCTACTGAATCTGACAAATCAGTTGGGTTTGGAATTGTAAATGCTTGTGTCAAGCTTGGGTTTTCTGGTAAAAGTATACTCGATGAGATGGATGCTCAAGGAGGATCTGGTGGGATTGGTGTTTATGTGCCGATCTTGAAGGCTTGTTGTCTAGAGAACAGAACATCTGAAGCTACTCAGCTAGTTACAGAGATCAGCAGCTCTGGAGTTCCGCTAGATGTCGAGACATACAAAGCTTTGATCGAAGCTTCCATGATGAAACAGGATTTCGTATCTGCGCTTACATTGTTCAGGGGCATGAGAGAAACGAGAGTATCTGATTTGAAAGGGAGCTACTTAACAGTAATGACAGGTCTACTAGAGAATCAGAGACCTGAGTTAATGGCAGAATTTTTGGAGGAAGTTGTGGAAGATCCTCGCGTAGAAGTGAAGTCACACGATTGGAATTCGATTATTCACGCCTTTTGTAAATCTAAACGCGTAGAGGACGCAAGGAGGACTTTCAGAAGGATGGTCTTCCTTCAATATGAGCCTAATCACCAGACGTACTTGTCGTTAATCAATGGGTATGTGAGCTGTGAAAAGTGCTTTGAGGTTGTGGTTTTGTGGAAAGAGTTCAAAGATAGGAAAGCAAAACTGGACCATGCTCTTGCGGATGCGTTCTTGAATGCGTTGGTCAAAGGAGGGTTCTTTGGCACGGCGATGCAAGTGGTAGAAAAATGTAAAGAGATGAAGATATTCGTGGATAAGTGGAGGTACAAGGCAACGTTCATGGAGGCTCAGAAGAATCTAAGATTGCCAAAGTTGAGGAAGAAGAAGATGAGGAAAATTGAATTTCTTGATGCCTTTAAGAACTGGGTTGGTCTGACAACATGAATAAAGTCTCTCAAAGACAAGACCCAAAACTTCTCTGTTGATGTCTCTCGTACAATCATCTCACAGTAGTACAAGAGTATTCCTTCTTTTTTTGTAGTAAACGAAAGATTGCAAGTGTCTTTAATGAAGTTGTAATGAAAAATGGATTTTTAACAGATATAAAAGTTCATACTGGCTTCACATTCTTCATTTCATTTTGGAGATGTAACGATCTGTCCTCCCTGCTCCACTTCGGCTAAATGATGAGTTTGATGATCCACAGCTGCCAAACATGCAGTTCACAGAGCAAAAGTATGTACCTGTGGTTCTAGGCACCTTCAAGATGATTGCGTACATGCAATGAGACTTGCAGCCCCTGCAAAGTGGGCGAGACACACTTTTATTGAGCACCACCTCAAATGATATTTCAAAATACTTCAGTGTGCTTCCTGGCATGAGCCATGTAGTGTCTCCGAGCACACATTCTGTATGCAAACTAGCCCGGTTATCTTTACAGGTGTAGAACCATGTCTTTGGATTGGTTTCTTTCTCACAAATGTCACACCAGTATTTACCACTCGCCTCTTCGCCATAGCATAATGTGAGAGGATGATTGTCTATTCTATGCTTTACCACTTGTGGTAGAGTGGCACATTCGAAGCATAAGACGAATTCACAATCATCTTCAATGCATCTGAGCACTTTAGCTACGCCTGACCTATTGCAGCCATTAATGCAGACTATGTCCTCGTTTGTTGGAACGTAGTATAAAGGATGATCAGGATGACTTTGATGGACAAATGGCTCAGAAACTGAACTGCACATGACATCAAACTTCTTATCTCCATGCATGTACCTGATGCCATTGGATATTCTGTGACAAGCATCACACCAGAAGAAACCGATCTTGCTTGTAACTAAAGTAAGCCGTTCATTGTGTAGCACATGCCATCTCTTCTTAGGAAACTCAGCGCAGCTTTTGTGGAGAGTGAAATCACAATCTATACATCCATAGAAAGATTTGAGACCAATGAGATGGATGCATGCGTTGCATCGTTTGTTCTCCTCATACAGAATACCATTGGCGTGGTGGAGTCTTAGGTAATGCTCTTTGTGGCTGAAATGATGTATTGTGTTGTCATCTATTACCACATACGGCTCTATATCTTCTTCTTCTTCAGGTACTCCTTCGAGCTCTTTCCCGTTCCATACATCGTTTCTTGTAGCACATTTCGAATGAACGACATAGCCAGGACACTTGTGACAAGAAAACCCTCCACAAGTCCAATCCACTTTCCGGCGACAAACTCCACACACAGATTTCACAACACCGAGGAGAGAAACGCGAGAGACACGGTGATCATGCCGGTTGATGTTTATGATTCTTGGAAAACCAAGACAGTCTTGGTGGATCATGAAATCACATTGAACACACATGTAAGGGCTTCGATATCCCTTCAGCCCACAAGCATTACATGTAAAAGAAAAGAGCCTTGGAAGAAGGGTGAGCTGGTGATCATGAGCTTTCAGATCAAGAAGTGACTGTGGTGGTGGCTCTAAAGCACAACGCCAGTCCAATGTGAAGTTACAAGAAGAACAATGATAAAACAATCCAGCATCAATAACCTCTCTTCCGCAAAGACGACATTTCCCATCTGAATAATCAGGTACTAGACCCCTAAAGAGCTTAAGTGGGTGCAAGGAGTGGTAAGAGTGGTTTACCTCTGAAGGGTGGTTTAACGGGTTCCATACGCAATCGATATGAAAGGCTGAATCACATTCATGACATTTGTAAGGAAACTCAACATTGGTCTTCCCACATTTAGCAGCGCAGACAAACTCTGTCTTCTCCTTGAGAAGAGTGAGCTTGTGCTGATGCGTCTCTGAGCTGTTGATAACATCTGGTGGTGGGTACATTGCACAGTATAGATCCATATCGAAGTCACAGGTCTCACAACGATAGTGTACACTCACGATGTTCTTGCCACATATGTCGCATTTGTTGGGTACAAGAAGCTTATCTTCAGTCCAAGGCTTGTGGCGAAGTTTAAGAGTGTGAAGAGAGTGAGATGGGTGTTGGATAGATTCAGGGGAGTCTCCACATTTCTTGTGGTAGAAAAAATTACCGTCGCTTAAGTAGCCATCACTGGTGGATTTAAAGTGTCCACAGCAATCACCTTTGCGCAGACTATTGCAAGTCTTCATGAAGTAGAAGTGGAAGTATGGTCGGAACACTTTCTCAGAGTCCATGATCGTAACTCGTAAATAACCAGAGTGGTAAGAAGAAGATGAAGAAGTAAGTAAGTTAGATCTGTAATATCAAAGCCATGCTCCTTGAAAGCAGTGCTAGCTCCTTGAAACTTGAAAGCTATGCTTCTTTCAATAAAGATGCTCGTATAAAATTTATAGAAATAATATAGTGTCGTACTTTTGCTGGTCTAAAAGGATTAGTTAATTAGCTAAATCAGTAAACTTTGAACAGAATATGACAAGTACAAGGTAAAAATTAATTTAGGCCGTTCGGAAAAAAATTAGTACCTATGGTCAAAAGAATCTGAAATGAAAACATTATTTGTCACTTTGTACTAAATACCAAATAACATTATAGCTGCAAAATAAATAACTCTTCATTGTTACTGTGCTTCATAATTATTACACTCACTTCAGCTTATTCTACAAAACTGGACCTGAAATGCATACTGAGTAAATATAATGTGTCTATAATCTAAAACACAACTTACACGTCAATCGAAAAATTGAGTCTACTAAAGACCACCCTAAATGATTTTCACTTAGCACCGGCTTTTAGTTTTTACACCACAGACTCCGTAGGCTGAAACTGAATCTTATTGTAATTCCTGCGTTCTATGAGAAACTGCAAGTTATCTTGAGTGCCACGCAACTGGTTCGATACTCCGATCCAACGCCCTTGCCAAGGTTTGAAACACTCTTTCTTCTTTGTTATTTACAAGTAACCCTAAGCCCACCTCTGAGTTGAGGTTAACCACCAACATTCCTCATTGCAAAGAATCTTCTCCCTTAGATCAATGTGGATATTGTATTGGCATGAAGAAGCAAACTTACTTTGCCCTCAAATGTTAGATGGAGTATCGAAGCTGCCGATATGTAAGTAACCTGAATGTGCTGCAAGTCAGTTGAAGAAGTATGTGGACCTTAGGACCTCCCTTAGATCGAAATCTCCTCTTTCTGGCAATGGTGGAAAACTTAGGCCTGGGAAGGACTTTTGGAAACTCTCCAATAACTGTCAATACACAGATAAAACCATTCATCACGAGTTTAGTTATAAAGAAGTGAAGAAAGAATTGGTAATTGTATGCCCTTGAAGGATAGAATAAGCAGCTTCTTTTACATTTTCTAAGATTGGCTTTTCGTAGAGCTCGACAAACTTCTCTCTGAGTATTTTGTTCATTATTTCAACATCAGAGGCATGCGTCCAGAATGAGTCATGCACCCCTACAAATCAGAAATCGGTATATTAAGGGTAAAGAAGATAGAATGAATAATCTATATCAGAAAATGCATATGAAAAGTGGTTAGAGCTGACCTGCAAAACTCAAACCCGCCCTGTTGCAGGCAACTGCTGTCATCATCATGTGAGACCCATCAAGTGAATGAATAAAGTTTGGTGAGAAAGCTGTCACCTGCTTCCTCGCCTGGACCTGAACCAAGAATACAGCATAAGGTGCAAAAAGATGAGACAAAATTTTGCATTATGATCAGATGTAGGCTAAACCTTACTCTTTCTCCAAACAACAATGTCGAGTCGTAGATGGGAAGTACTGAGAAAAAGTTATAGTGAATGAATTTTGGTTGGATTACCTTTTCAGTCTCTCGTGCTAGAGTCAACACCTGAAGGGTAGTCTTAACCTGCAAAATTTGATGCATCTCAATTTTAGTCACATTCAAGAGAGCGACTAATCAATTTCTTCAGCTGATCATCTGTGCTTCTTCATGTATCAAATAAGTTAAAAGCATTACCAAATGTCTTCCAGGCATCCGATAGGGTTGTACAACTGGAAGTCCAAGAGGAGTCGTCCAACAAACTGCTTTGTTTTCTGCAGCTATTATCTGTCCACCACAGAAAATAGCTATCATTGTCGTAACCAATTGTCAAGTGATGTAACTTGTGATTTCTTAGGCAGAGGCCTCAACAAGAGCGTCAGGGATATAAGAACTGACCTTTGCACATTCACCAAACCAAGTCTTGATGGCTCTAGCAGCTTCAAACATCTCTTCCAATGCATTCAAAGTGATCTAGAAACAGAACCAGTAGGGGAGTGAACAGATGATTCCAGAATCCAAAACAATCATCCACAGGTTAACAATGCATAACCACACAAAAGTATAGAGTTGCCCAAACCAAGCAGGTAAATTATCATGTCCTTACTCTTGCTGCATAACAAGCTGCATGAAAAGTTTGTGAATCGTCCGCAAAGGCACCACGTTCTTTTAACCTCTTCTTCATTTGGTCACGTGCGCCACTATAGGTAACACCATACACTGATGTCATGACAGTCTGTTTTACCAGCTTCCTGTCAACCTAAGGAATTTCAATAGTAGCGTACTGTTGTCAGATCGTACGATCATAAACAAGTATCAAAGGAAAACTTAGTAGTAGTACATCTGATCCGTATGGTGGTCGGACAAAATTTGGTAGTCAGGTCATGTAATATTTCAAGCAAAAGGTGAACCAATTTAACAAGCAAGAGATGTCAAAAACCTGGTCGATCATGAGTTTGGCATATGTGGCATTTGGAAATGTTGTAGGATCTTCATGTGCATCTCGCCGCATGATCTCGAGAACCCTGATTAAAAGTTTAACCAAATTAAAATGTCTGTCTGACTATAGTGTCACTGTAGCCAGAGAGATGGAAAAAGTACCTAGCAGCAATTTCAGCATAAACATCTGCCGGCTTTTCACCTGTGACCAAGTTGACAGCAGCTGCCCCCAACTATGAACAGAACCAATTAAAACAAATGAATCAGAGACCCTTGAGCAGAAACATAATACCTTATGTATGAATGAATGTATACAAATACTATACTGTAAAACTTATGTCATACCTGATCCCTTCCAAGAGCAGCATAGTGTTGTAAACCATTACATGAACCATCCTTGCAATAAAGATTAATACAGAAAGTAAGATTATCTACTTAAAGAGCAGAGATGGTGATAAATTCAAAATAACAAAGGTGCCTATATAATTTTAATTTCAGTGGAATTGGTACGAAAGTTGTTCATGTTCAAGTATGGTAATGCTAATTGCTAAAATGATTGCACACGTGTATACATTACACAAGAAAACATAGTGATATGGAACCATTGTCTAACTAACACCACCAACCATTTTTACTTCTGATGATACAATTTATAGTAAGTACCTGGTGTATGGGGATGTGAGATATAGCTGCTTCAGGAAAGGGGCTTCTCAAGGCTTCTGTAAGGTTAATGCAAGCAGCCAAACATTGAAAGGGATCCTCTGCATTAAGCCACCATCTTTTTCCTTCCAGAGGTCTATCAGAAGAATCAAATATATCTTCTAAGTGACTCTCCGTAAATGCAACCCGGCCCTCATAAGCAAATTTATCAACACCACCAGCATATAAGTTTGCTACATGTATCTTCAGCCACCGCAATCCTGATTCCCCAAGAGGCTTTCCCTCACAAAACTCAAGGATGCCTCGGCAGAGATCAGACCCGAGATGGTTAAGATATGGATGCATGGGATACGCTCGGCCACGAAAGTCAACATTGTGAGGGTAGTAGAAACCTTCCTCGTCCTTCATTTTACGTGCCACCTGCTCAATCAAATGAATGTACAATGATGTTCTCATAAATCAGAGCAGCAAAAAGAAGTGCAGCAAGGAGTCTTCTCTTACCTCGAGTTTGAGCTCTACATCACACCTTTGTGAATGTCTCTCGCTGTTTTCCTTATTTGCGTCCTTAAATTTCCATTTCCACTGCTTTCTTACTTCCGGGTCTTCACTGTCGGGCTCCTCTGGAACGGGTACCTTTTGGAGTTTATAAAGAGGTGAGAGTCAATTAGAGTGAGACTCAAAATTTGTAAATGAAAAGTGGGAACAGAGGTTACATCCTTCTTTGAAGAAGATGCCAAAAGAAGGATGAACAAGATCCAGAAGTGAATAAAAAAAGGAAGGCGCAGAGAGAGATAGAGAGAGACAGAGATCTCACATCTTCACGGTCAACCAGATCACCAAGGCGACCTCCATTAGCCCAGATTCTGTCCACCAAACTTAACACCTTTTTGTTTATTCTCCATTTGGTATTTCCTAGAGTATCTAACGCCTGATTAAACAAAGGGAATCATCAAATAAATGTTTAAACTCAAGCAACATTAACTCGTAATACAGGTAAAGGAATTCAGACCTTAAATACTGGTTCCAGTTGCTCCTTAGGAGTTCGTTTTATTACCACGCGTTGTTGCTTAGCTCCATGTGTTCTCATGATGTACGAAGGCAAGAAAAAGTGTGCGCCTTGATCATACCTGTAAAATACTGTCAAGTTACATAGCAATTTTAGGAACCTACTTAAAGCAAACTGTAGATATCCCTTGTATGAGATAGCTTTTCAGGATATACCATGACGGCTACACATGAAGGAATGCTCAGAAAAGGAGCAAACTATATCTAGGGGATCTAGAAGCAGTAAGAAAGGAAACAATGTAAGTCCTAATTATTGGCGAAAACATATCATACCCTGTCCAATTCAGCGGAGGTATTAGCATTGGCAAGTAGGGGATGACCATATGTCTAGCCTGATTAAACAAAGGAAAAGAGTAGAGAGATTGTCTTAGATTCAAACCAAAATACCTTGACGTATAGTGGTGAAAGCTTGTTCACACCCAAACATCACAAAGGTACATGACTGCTATCAGATAAAAGAACAGCAAAAAAATATAGTCCACAATTCTGCTTACTGATTTGTCAAGGCCTTTTCGGATCAGAGGATCGCATTCGATGCAACCATATCTCCTGCTACTTTTTCTGAGGAAAAATACAATAGAATTGAAAGTAAGCAGCAGGGACAAGGGAAGAGAGAGAGAGACGAAGACAGATTCATGTGAATGAGCATAAACAGAAGCACAAGAGTCTCACGTGTTTTCTAATGTGACATTTTTGAGACTTTGCTTAAAAGCAGGTCGGATCTCAGGTGGACCATCGTCAAACTGTTCGGCCGGAGTTTGTATATATGCATTTTCCATCAATAGCTGAATCAAACGTGCGCCAACCTAAAATTGCAAAGAGCCAAAAAATTAAATCACAGGGAAGAGGAAAAGGAGAAGGAAGAACAGAGTTGAAGCAGGGGAAGTAAGCAACTAACCTTGACTTGAGCCTCTTGACCCCACGGCTTGAATGAGTCATGTGCCTTCACTATTCCTCTTATTTGCCTCACCTTATTCTTTTTCATCAGTGTATTAATTTGTTTCCTCAGCTTTTCCGTTTCTTTGGTCACAGCCTCTCCTGAAACATCATCATCCACAGCTTCTGGTTCATCACCGGTCGTCTTGTCAGTTGCACTCTTTCTCTTCTTAGTTTTCTGTAAAAAGCTGTTGATCCTAGCCTGATCCAAGAACCAGATTACACATTCCATTAAAACCAATCTATAACCAAGACAATTTGCATCATGAACAGCAACAAAAAAACACACCTCCTGCTCAATGGCTTCACCGATCTGAGTAGCAGCATTCACCACTTTAACAGTGCCAACGCCTTCAGCGTTTGTCATCAGCAGTCCCATCATCTTGTGCATAGTGATAACAGCCATCATATCCGCCGGAAGCTGCTCCATGTAAGGCGCATAAGGGATCTTCCCTTTCTTGATTTTGAAGGTATCAAGGTCAGCTTGAATGGCGTTGCGCAGAGGCTCGAACCATCCGAGGAACAGAGACTTCACGTAAGGAAGATTCGGCGCGAGCTTCTGCTCGCACATGTCTTCTAGAATCTCTCGACACTCTTTCGCCGCCTTCTCCCATTCCTCCGTCTCCAGCTTCACTTGCCTTTGCTTCAGCGAGTAGTATTTTTGAGCTCCCATTCCCGACACTACTTTCGTCGGCTGTCTCGCCGCAAGCCTCGCCTTTTTCCGGATTCTCTCGGTTTCTTTCTCCATTTCCATCATCAGTTCATTGACTTCGTCAGACCCGGAAGAAGAATCATCTTCAGGTTCAGTCGAATCAATGGCTTCCGCAGCTGTAGCGAACCCTCTAAGAGAAAAATGTTGTTGACCATGAAGAACTGAGCTCAATCTTCCCAAATCGTCAATTGGGTTTATAGCTAATCCCTTTCGAACACCACCGAGATCAACAGTCGAAAGGATCCCACGAATTCTGTTACCGGGGAAGTGATTCCCGGAGCTAGATTCAGAAAAAAACTTAATCTTTCTGAAAGCAGCTCTCCCCAGAATGTTCCTCCACATTCTTCAACCGTCCTGTGATCGGCTAATTTTAGCTACTGGAGTTTCCAGGTAAAGCAATACGAGCATAGAAATCGAAGACCAAAATAAACAGAATCAAAAACCGAGACTTTGGGTGAAGAGGAGAGAGATCTGGAGAAGAGTGAAATCGTTAGAAGGCGCCGAGAAGTACAGCCGCCGAATAAACCCTTCATAAAACCTTCGGTTTCTGCCTCACATTTTCATGGGTATTTGTTAAACCCGACCCGGTTATCAGATCCGTTTTCGCACTTACTTGGGCTCAAAGCCTTGAGCCCATTCTAGCACGAATTCGTATTTCTTAAATAATAATTTTGTTAGTAGTAACACTTTCAACAAATCAGAGTGGCGCAGCGGAAGCGTGGTGGGCCCATAACCCACAGGTCCCAGGATCGAAACCTGGCTCTGATATAAATGTTTAATTTTTTCTTTTGCTAAATACTTTTTGGGCTTTGAGCCCAAAATTATCAAACCCATAAGCATATTTTAACAGATCACAAGAGACCACGTGCATCACGTGATGGCCTTTATCACGATAGGTTAGAATCCCGTCTTATCACGTGAATCCCACGTGTCATCACAACTTACGGTTCGTTAACTGGGCTCACCGGATATCACATCGGATCGTACACGTGTCCTAATCAGAAAAACATACGGCCAAAACTTGAGCGAGCTCACGAGTCTCTGCCGCAGGATATTACAGCTCAGCCGAGTCACGAGTTCCAAAAGAAAAAAATTACGTAATTGCTCTCGTCCCGTCGACGGGAAAGTAGAAGACAAAAAACTTGGAAAAGCTTTTTAGTAAAACAATTCACTGTCTAACTCTTGTCTGCGCAATTCTCCGGCGAAGATGAGAACCGGAAAGGGAAATCAAGAGGAGGATGACTACGGAGAAGAAGACTTCGGCTCGAAACGGGAAGGTCCTTCCTCCAACAACAGTAATTCCGCCGCGAGCAGAGGTATTGTTCCGATCCAATTCGGTGGGATTTGCATTTCGTTGCTGTAGTTCTCCGATTTGTTTTTGATTGGAGCTGTTCCGATTCGAATCGCGATGGATTTGTTTCGAAGAGTTTGGGATGAATCCGGTAGAAATAGATTTATGGGTTTCTCTTTGATTTGGTGTTTGGTTTGGTTTCAAGCAGATGCAAAGGAAAATGATAAGGCTAGTGCGATACGTTCTAAACATTCGGTCACGGAGCAGCGGAGAAGAAGCAAAATCAATGAAAGGTATCTCGAGTGAACAGCAAAATTTTCAAGCTTTTGATGTGCTTGAGATTCAGAAGTAAACGCAACCTTATTTGTTTGATGTGGAGCTAAAACTACTGACCCAGAATTCAATGACTTTGCCACCAAAAATCTTAGAATGCTTAGAACTTGTGTTTGGGAATTTTACTCTTCCTCAGTTTGTGCTGTTACATTACCATCTTTGTTTATCTTATAAATGCTGAATCTATAGAACTCTTGTCAGATTTCAGATATTGAGAGAGCTAATTCCCAACAGTGAACAGAAGAGAGATACCGCTTCTTTTCTTTTAGAGGTATTTTCATGGATGTTTGATGGTGTTTTATGCGAATTATCCTGAGCTTAGATCTTTGTTAGCCTAATACCGCAATTCCATTCTAGGTGATAGATTATGTTCAGTATTTACAAGAGAAGGTGCAAAAGTATGAAGGATCATATCCAGGATGGAGTCAAGAACCAACTAAGTTGACACCATGGGTAAAAAAATTTCACCTTTCTCTGAAACATTATAAGCTGTTTTTTGGTTTCTCAACTTTTAGCTGAATCTTAACGTTATCCTGATTGGAACAGAGGAATAATCACTGGCGAGTTCAGAGTTTAACGAACCATCCAGTAGCTGTAAATAATGTATCTGGTCCAGTGATACCATTTCCTGGAAAGTTTGAAGAAAACACAGTGGTCCCCGCACCTGCAATCGTTGCGGAGATGCAAAACCCGGATGAATCTGACAAAGGAAGAGCTGTGATTTGCAAACCAATAGACATTCAACCTGAGTTAGACGACAAGGGATTGCCTCCTGTACAACCAATCCTTCCATTGGTACACGGTGTAGAAGCAAATAATGAATGTCCTGCAACAAGTGATGCGCTGTGTCATAGTAATGACATGGTCATTGAAGGTGGAACCATTAGCATCTCTACTGTCTACTCTCATGAGTGAGTTTTTTTTTCTAACTCTTCCTCATTTCAGATACTTCTTTCCCTCAATTAGGCGATGCAATCGATGTGTTGGCTTCTTATTAGTGTGTACTTCTGAACAGGTTACTGAGCTCGCTAGCACAAGCACTCCAGAACGCAGGCATTGATCTGTCGCATGCTAAACTCTCTGTGCAGATCGATCTTGGGAAGCGAGCCAGTCAAGGACTAACTCATGACGATCCATCCAATAAGGTTCTCTCATTTTCGAAATGCTTCATGTTTAGTGTGAGAAGGAACTATATACGTATATTATGATCTTGATGCATTTTTTTGTAAAGTGCAGAATCCACTATCATCTGATATTGAAGGCGCTACACAAGCAAGGGATCCAGGCGTTGAGGAAGAATCTGAACATTCTCATAAGCGGATTAAAACACTGTGACAGTTCTTCTTCTCTCTTAGGCTCCACGGCTTTGGAATATATAAAATGTATTGACAGATTTCTTCTTTTTGTGTATGTACATTTGTTCGGCTTCTAGGGGGGGCTTTCCTATAGTCGTTATGGTTGGTAGATCTACGTATTGGTGGTTTTGAGTTTGTATCATTTTCTGCATCATTATTTATGTAACCTATCAAATATAATCATTTGTGGAATATCAGATTTCGTTTCAAGTTAATTGAATCATTTTTTTTTAGTTTATCTTCTTTCTTTTGTAGGAGAGACTTAGATCAAAGGTAACTGTTTTTATAACTTGAAGACAAAGACGATGTGATCCTTTTATCTATTCATTGTTGTGATGACCCATAACTTTGATAAGAAAAGCATAATCATAGGCAGTCTCTTCGCACTGAGCATAGCGACCACCTTCACCGAAATGGCCTCCGCTCATATTTGTTCTCAGAATCACACCTCGTGAGCAATCATGGCACGTGCTCTCCCTTATCTTAGCCACCCATTTCGCACCTTCCCATACTCCAACCCTGACACAACAACAACAACACTATTCTTACTACATAACAAGTTGAAGAAATCTTCAAGGTTTAAGGTTTTCTTTGTGTGAAGCTTACCTTGAGTCATGAAACGAAGTTGTGACAAGCATTGACGGATAGCAGACATCTCTGCGTATGTTATCATATGGTGAATAGCTAAGGATGGATCGAAAGTCGGTTTGGATGTTTGGATTACCAAATTCTTCATGGTCCAATAGTGTGAGAGGTAAGTTTGAATCCGATAATGTGTTCAACACGTCTACAAAAGGAACCTGCCCAATGATGATATGAGCTTTTTGCTTATTAAATGCATTTGTAACGCTCGAAAGACTCTCTAACCTTTAAAATTGCAGCTTGAAATAGACTCGGGTGCATATTCATGGCTGCAGCTGGAAGAATAGATCCTGCGCTGTGTCCAATAGCAGCAAGATGATGTCTATGCACATATCCCTTGTCGATTAGATATTTCGCACTGTATATGAAATCTTGTATTGAGTTTAGTTTCAACGATCCAGTTCCGGATTTGTGCCATGAAAAATCCCCACCACCTCCTCCCCTGAGGCCAAAGCATATCCATACTTGACATGATGTGCAAAAATGATTAAGGCAACGACTCTGTTATGTTTTTTTTTTGACTGACCTCACATCAGCAAAGGCAATAACCCAACCACGATCAAGCATACTCAACCGATTTGTGCACCAGCTTTTGTCCAGAGCTTCTCCATATGCACCGTAACCTATCAATATCCCAGGGGATTCACTCTTCTTCCACGCTTCTCGTGAATACAGAATTGTAAGTGGGACTTCAACTCCATCGTGCGAAGAAACTTCTCGTCTTTCACAAACATATGCATCAGATATGTCAAACTGAACATTTTGTCCCTCACTGCTGTTGTCTGCAGAGTACCATGGCTTACTACTATCAGAGTTGTCTATAACTCTTCCCTCCTCCTGCTGGACGACTGAGAATGATCTTCTTGACACGTCGTAGTCGATGATAGTGTCAGGAATCTGCAATCCCAATATAAAACAGTCAAGTGCTCAGAGTAAGAATAATTCAAGTGCAGATAAACTATCTTGTGGCATCAAAGCTACAACAAACAGAGGAACTCATTTCTTAAAGAAAGTATATATACCACAGGAGATGAAAGCACCACTCGGTATGTTGAGCTTTGAAAGCTGTGGTTCGAACCCGGAGCAACACTGCATGGATCAGCTGGAACAGGAAAGTACCATGGATCAAGATCCTCCATACGCTGCAAAATTAGAGCAGAAGGGAACACGTACATTAGCAAGAAATAGCTAATAGTGTATGAAAACAAAGACTATGTAATCACTAATTACAACACCTTTGTATTTGCTTTCATGGGCGTATCAATGGAACAAAGCGAAGGTGAGCCTTTCTTGTTGAGGAAAAGCACCAGGTAGCCATTGAACATGTCCATATCTTGTATCACGACATCATCATCTGGGAAAAAAACAGTCTAACAAGAAAAATCAGTAGCGTTCGCTATCTGCATATATTTACAGAACATGATAAGTATAAAAAGAACCAAAACCTGCCATTCGGATGATTCAATATCCTCCACTAAGCACCTAGTCAAATAGTAGCCTTCACCAGACCACTCACTAGTTGCATTTGCAGGAGCATTTGTGAGAATGTAGAAGAACCCATTGTGATGTTCAAGAAAACACTGCACGCCAGGGACTCGTTCACGAGTTCTTCGCCAGCCACCCAGTGGCTTCTCAGCATTTACAATATAAACCTGAGTAAACAAGATAACCCAACTTGAGCCTCCAGGAAAGGTGAAGAAACATTAAAAATTGAAAACTAAACTGAGAGTTTGAAAAAAGATTGATTCCTCAGATGAAGTCCTTGAGTTCGAATTGATGGTAACGAACTTGCCATCTTTCGTGGTCGTTATGTCTACACAGAAACTGGAATCTCTTTCGGTAAACACTACAGTATCAGCTGTCCCGTCTGACTCAACATTTGTAACAACAACCCTGCAAAAAGCAAGTCACGCTTGAACAAATAAAACCCCCACAACTATCAAAGCTATATCTACTTTTTTATATGAGTCACTGTGTTTGCCTGTGAGGTCTTTGATTTTCATCAGTAACAGTGTAAAACAAGGTGGTTCCATCTAAAGCCCATGCCAAGCTTACGACTCCATCAGCTTCCAACCTCGGAACTAAACGACCGCTTCTCAGATCCTTTATTTGGAGAAGGAAACGTTCATCTCCCTTGGGATCAACCGTGTACGCGAGATAGTTGTGATCAGGTGAAACCCGACAAACACCAACGTGAACATAACCTGGAGTAGAAGTATGAATTCGATCTCACTCTATTACTCTAATAGTAACAATGCAACATTTATTACTAAGGAATCAATAAGAAACTTACCATACTGCTCTGCAATTTGATTCCAGTCAAGTACAACTTCTTCATCTCCTCCACGGAAAAGACCAGAGAGCCAATTTGTTTCAACCTTCTCCAATCTCCTACTCAGAATTGGATATTCCTTTCCTTTGGGTATGTACTGCCTATATAACCTGATCAATTGACATTAAAACCCAATCGATCAAGCTCACTCTTTTTCGCCACAAATCAGAAAAGTTGCAGGATTAGAGAGAGAGAGAGAGATGAACCATGGTCCCCAACGCTCGGGAGGAGTGAAAATCTCTTCGAGGATGCGGGTTTTCATCTCGGAGACAAGATCATTTCTTAGGGTTTTTGTGTCAGCCATGAAAGCTTGAGCGTACGAGTTCTCACGCTCGAGGTAGTCGAGGAAATCTGCGTCGTCCGTATTCCGCATCCAACGGTAAGGATCTTGCCTCGTGATCCCATGAGTTGAGACCGCGAATGGGATCTTCTTCGGCACCGGAGGAAATTCCGTCGGAACAGAGAGTGTTGCCGTTCGTCGAGCAAAACATTGCGAGGAGAAAGAGGAGGAAGAAGAAGTAATGGAATTTAACTTCCAAATCGCCAGAGACAACACCGACGATATGGTCGGCGCCTTGGAACGCCGGAGAAGACATGTTACTGCCATAAAACCAATAATGGCGATAATGGTTTCGGGAAATAATTTGACTTTTGCGTATTTATCCAACACAAGAGAGAAGAAACCTTCAAAGTTGTAAGGTTTTTTTACTACAAACAAAAAAATAGTCTCGTTTTTTATAAACTGCGAATCAAATGAATAAAATGTGTCTTCTTTTGCATCTTCGCTAAAGCAAAAGCTATACACAGATGATGAGACAAGGTCATATACCATCGGTAACTTCCCTCAATTGGGTTGTACAAATCTATATATATATATTTCTAGTTTGCTGCATTTGTCTCTTTCTCTTTCTCTTTCTCTTCTTCAACATCCTGCAAACACGTTAAAACAGATTTTAATCCAAAATGTTATCTCTCGTTGTATCTTCTCAAGACCAGAGAGCAGAAATGTTAAAAAGAAATGCTTACGGAGTTGCCAATTTTGTCAAAGTCATCATCATCCAGGCTTCCATCACCATCACCATCATCTGCAAGGTTTTTACAATACACATACAAAAATCAATATTTTTAAGACAAAGCAAATCACAGCTAAAAACTTGGGAAGTCAAGGTCTCACCAGGAGCTTCGTCACTGTCTTCTAGATCTCCCAAGAGGAATGTATCGAGATCTTGCTCAGACGATGCAGTAGATGTTCTATTCGCTGTCACATTCTTTTCAGATGTCTCTGTCCCTCCAACCGCTGGAGTCTTCTTAGCTTCTTCATCTTTACTCTCTGCTTTGCTCCTAAGTTCCTCCATGTACTTCCTCTCATATCTGAGCCAAAACAAACCCCTTTTCAGCTTAATATCTACGGGTGATTAGTATTACTGCAGCTATAAAGTCTCAATTCACTAATCACATGTCTTAAGCTGCACTGATTAAGCCATGAGACTTAAGTCTTAGGAATAACAAGTCCTAAGCTATCTTTACCACCTCCTATTCCTATGCGCTTAACACGATTTTAATCTGAGTCTTTACTCTTTATTCTACTAAAGTGCATACACTTTTAAAAACGATTCTCAAACTGAGTCTGTACTCTTTATTCTACTAAAGTGCCTACACTTTTAGACATGTCGACTTTGAGAAAAGATGGTAGAAGCCTTACGGTGCAACATGAGTGCTCACTAAGGTGTAGTATATCCTCCAGAATCTCCTTTCTTTCATGACTCGCGGGCATAATTCATACCGTAACTTCGAAATTTGCTGCAGCATATTCACAAAATCCCAGCATTAAAGATGAATCCAGAAGTTAACCAGTATGCAAGATCGGCTTTAACACCTAAATCCAAAATCTCGAAAGGTTTATAAATGACAGATGAGTAATATACCTTGACAGAGCCAAGAACAAGAGTGGCATGTCTCTCCTGCCACTCAGAGAGATCCTTCCGTACGTTCGACGTAGTTGTTGCCGTATCAGAAACTTCCGACGATTCATCTATCCACATTCATCATAACACATTGCAAAATTTTCAATGCGAAACGAAGAATTACCCCCGAAAAAGAAGAAGATAAGCAAACAACAAACCATTACCTTGTTCAGGGAAAGCCTGGAATGTAGCAGAGGTCAATCCTTTGACGAACTCTCTCAGATCATCCGTGATACCGAAGCTTAGAAGCTCAGATTCGGAGATCGCAGAGCTAGATCCTGATCCGGACCCAAAGGACGCAAGCTGAGGAGGGATAATGTCGGCAATCGACTTGATGTTCTGGATCTGATCGGCTTGCTTCATCGCGACGACTTTGAGCTGATCCGCCTTCGTGGAAACCTCGGCGGCGAATTCCTTGGATTTTTTCGCCGTCTCGGCGACGAAATCGGAGACATTGAGCTGGTCGGCCTTCTTAGAGGCTTCGAGAGCGAACTCCTTGGATTTCTTGGCGGTCTCGGAGACGAGATTGGCGAAGGTCGTGGAAGAAGATTGTAAGGTTATCGTCTGAGATTTCTTGGCTGCTTCCTCCGCAAACGATTTCGCTCGCTTCCACAGATCCTCCATTTTCTCGGCGCAAAGATAAATTTTCCCGATCTGTTATTTCACGAAATTAAAGGCAACATTCCGCCAAAACGCCGAGAAACCCTCTGGATCACGCAGAGGTGTTTGACTTTTAACACTTACAATCGTTTATTGGTCGCATACTTGCTATTGGGCTGAATAGTATTATTTTGTTGCATTTCTGTTATTCAAGATTTGGAAGAAACCCAAATCGATACAATGATGCTTACGTAGGGAAATAAAAGAACATGCATTTTTTTTGCATTTCTGTAATAGTGTGCCACATTATGGGAGCCAAGGGAGTTAATAAAGCCAACATCCAAGTTTGTACAGCCGAAGAACATTCAAAGATAACATGGTTAGACGTTTTAATCTATGCAAGGCTTCGAGAGTAGTGATCGATTACACAACACATGCCTCTTGAATTTAGCATTTGAGTTACCACAATGCGACCAATTAATATTTGTCACACAAGGTGGGACATTAGGAACAGAGCATTGATATTCCACGCTTGCGCTTTCCTGGCATGGGAGCTTTGTTCATAAACTCCAGGTTGTGTGACCGGGACTCATAATGTTCTTTGCCACCCAATAGTATGATTTTACAATATATCATATATGTATATATGTATTGTCCGGATTTGGTGAATTGCCCTTCAACTTTACAATTTGATATAATGGCCAGACTTTTAATAAATGTGATACAAATAACATTTGTTTTTTCTTTGGCATATCATCCCCATGGCAGCTGTGATGTTATTCATACAAATAAATACTTAATAAAATCCCATATAAAAAAAATCAACATATATTCTAACATGTAGTGAACTAATTGTTCTCATATTACAAGAGTGTAGTAGATGACAACAAATTGTCCTTCTGTATATACATGCACATAAAAATATAGTCCTTCTGCATATACATGCACATAAAAATATAGTATAATACAAATTCAAGCTCATCCATAACAAATTTGAAGTGCATCACGATGAATAAAGCATACATAAATAAACTATGAAAAAAAAAAAATAGGTTACTAATCAAACGCAGAAATAGGTATGGTTTTCAGTAAAATGACAATAAAAAAAAAATGTCTGGGTACTTGTGGGAATAGAAGAAAAGATAGATGGTGAGAGTGAAAGGTACGACAGAATATATGGTTAGGGTGTGGTCGAATCTTTGTATGCAGCTAGAGACCACTCTCTGCCCACCACAGGCCACAGGACCACTCCTCCGCCAAAGTATATATATATATGACTCTTTCTTTTTCTTATTATTATAGTGTATTTTGTTGAATAAAATCATGTTAGTTCGTGTAATCGTATGTTATAACTTATATGATTAACCAACAAATTTATATATTAAATAAACTCAGAATCGAGTTTAGATCATGCATACAGAAGTTGGATAGGTGTGGACCAATTTTTGTAGATTTTGGTGGATGTCAGATTGTGAAGTGAGCCAAGTTGCCCATCCCTTTGGAGATTTATCCAAATCTTTTCTGATTGTTACATGTTTGTTATGTTACACTTCAATTTTTAGCAGTCATTATACCTTGACGTTCCAATCTACATTTTCCTACTTTAATTTTTTTTTTGTCTGAATGCATTTTTCTGTTATGTGACTTATGTTTTGAATTTTTTTACCAGTTTGAAATTACATCATTGCGGTAAAAAAAATGCATTTATCATCGCGTTCATGCACTAAAGCTTATGTATAAAAAGGTGACGAGAGGAACATTTCAGAATGGAGTTATTATACAGAGAAAGAGAAACTTAAGAGCACTTGTATTGGTAGTCTCTCACCAAATCTGTCAAAATAAAAAATTAATAAACTTAAGGAAAAAGAAGAGAAAATAGAAAGAATCACTCAAATGACAGACTATAAGAAACTTATTTTATGTGTTCTCTTTATATGATTGGTTTAAACTTTATTTCAAAATTAAAATCAATTAATATAATTAAATTATATTAAAATTATTATTATTAGATTGATGAGAAACTTATATGAGTCTTTTACCAATGCAAATGGTCTAAGCTTTATACGTATTTACGTCGTAACGCAATGAAACACTTTGATGACAACAACAACTGTTTTTAATACAAACAATATTTTTAACGAGACAAAAGGTTAAAAAATATGAGACAAAAAGTTTACTGGGAAAACCCTTTGGCAAAAAAAAAAAAGTTTACTGAGAAGAAAGTGTGCACGTTAGCAAAAGTCAGAATCTCAATCTTTTACAGCTCCGTCTGACGTGGACCCCTAGTCTCGTACCGACGTCCCTTCATTTTCTCCAAGAGACTTCTCTCTCTTCTCCCTCTTCCCTTTTCTCAGGATTACATTTTTAACGAATATTTCTTTTGTCGATGAATCAATTTCTTTTTCTCTCTTTTCTTTTTCAGCAGTCGTGTATATAATGCAACTACGAAACTTTTTTAATACGTACAACAACGAGTCCTTAAATAGTAATTTAGGGGAGAAAAAAACAGTTAAAAAAGCCTGAAAACTTAAAATTAATGAAAGACACGTGACACGTGCGTGACTGCCACTCTGTCTCCACATGAAAATCTGACTCACGGGTCTGCCTCACGTCGCGTGCAACTTCGCTTTAAATATTCCGCTAATTCTGTCTTTTTAAAAGAAAACATAAACTAATTTTAAAAATTCAAAACCCAACAACACCCAAATTAGTATTAACTTTATGCCATACATCCTTTTCTGGAAGCTGTTAGTTAAATTTACTTCAAGTTTTTTTTTTTAGTTTTAACAAAATCCACATATGAAATCGACGGAAATAAATATGTTTGTGAACTTCCTTTTAATTAGTTGATCAAGTGTTAGCGGTTGTATTTATTTGCTATGGTAATATGTTTTTTCTCTAATAAAAAATAAACTAGTGTTCTGAACAAAGTTTTATTTATAAATTGTAAACGCAAACGAAACCTAAACTCCTAAGATTTTTTTGTAGGGTTCGAAACAGTTGACAGTTTAACAAATAAATTTATTAACTACTGCAATTTGAGGAAGCTTGTTTTTTCTTGTTTAGGAAGTACTATGTTAGTTAGTAAAGAAGCTATTTAATGTAGACTAACTACATGATGTAGTTAGGTCGGAAAAGAGGGCAGTGGTGTGTGTCTCACTGTAGTTGACCATTGACTCGGATTATTTTGAAAATTGGTTAACTAATAACTATATGGCTTAAGCAGATTGTAGTTGAATAGTATTTAATTATTAATTAGTGTACTAAGTAAAACTAACTAACACTGAACCAAGAATCCGGTGGATTCCATACGCCTAAAAGGCTATGACCTGATATGACCTAGTCTTAAGCTTGGGGACCATACTATATACATAAACATAACTCATATATGCCAATTTAGGTTTTAATTTATTTATTGTATGTTATAACGATATTCTTTTTAAAAATATACTTCATGAAAACCGTTGAATGGTCGGTCAGTACACTCAGAACTAGAACAAATTCGAGACATTATAAATTTGAATTTTCTAAGGAATTTGAAATAGAGATGTCAAAAGTTAAGAAACTTGTAACATGTAGGGGGTCTCTAGAAATTTGCATTTTGTTTGTTTCGTTTAAATTTTTTAAAAAACGAAACTCATATGTTTTGTTTTAAAAAATAAAAATGATATTATAATAATATCTGTTGTTTAAAACAGTTGATATAAGCTTTGGGCATTCGAATAACTATTCGAGTTCATATTGGATTTAGATATTGGTTACTTTAATTTTAAACTATAAGTCTCATCCGAGTATTTTTAATTATCAGTCGGGTCCAATTAGGTTCATATCGGGTTTGGATCAGTTCGAGGTACTTGAATTGTTTGAAACGTATTTAAAATCTTTTTTTTTCAAAATTATTTTATAAAATAATTTGATATATTTGCTTAAGTTTTGCCAGAAATATTAAAATATTGAATTTTTACATATATAATTAAAACAGTTTGGATATTTTAATTATATTAGTTTAAGTATAACTAATATAATCAATTTATAATTGTGATTTTGAAAATTTTAGTTATATTATATTTAAATATAACTAATATATATACACATATATATTCATTGATTTTCGGATATTTCGGATACTCATACGATTCTTGATTCGGTTCAAGTTCAATATTAGTTTTTCAGATATAAAGATGAAAGCTCCATTCAAATATTTACAGTGATTCCGATTCGGTTTGATATCTTTAATTCGATTCAGTTCTTTGAGATCCAGTTTTTATATTTAAGCCTACTTAATACGTATGCATTGGCTACTAATAGATTGAGGACAATTCTCCTAAATTGCACCAATTCATATTGTTTTATATATCATTTCTAAGCTGTTTATTATAAGAAACAAATCTTATTACTCCATAACAACTTGTCAATTTCACATTCATATATATGAACACAATTTTATTTTATTTTTGCTACAAATATATATGAACAAAACTAGAACAGTTATTTGGTATTTAAATTAATAACATGTTGTGCAATCACATAACAAGTCATTAAGACAAATAATTTTGTTAATAAAGATGTTTTTTATGTAAATAGAAAAATATACAAAGTCAACTAAATCAGCATTCCAAATACATAAAATCAAAAAATAAATTGTTATAAAATTAGGAAATTATAGTGGAAACTTTGGGTTCTAGCAAATACTAATATTAAAGTGTTTACGAATAGTATTTGCATTATTTGGCTCTCTTATGTAAGTGTAGAAGCATTGCATTATTTGACGACTGCAGGTCCAAGTGACGCACTTCCATGAATTCGCTTGGGAATTATGTTGCATAGGTCGGCCACAAACATTTGCTCCTTAATTTCATGGTCCAAATCCTTTTTGTGCCGTTAAAAACAAAACAGTTCTTTTTTTAATTATGCAAAACTATTGTATAACATTATACCTGATAATAATAAGTCACTAACGCTCTTATTCATTTTCTTTCTTTGCTATATCTTTTCTAAACTAGGTGTATTCTTAATTTACTTTA